AAGACCCATCCTAGGGCAGCTTGTGGCCTGAATGGTATAAAGGGAAACAAAGAAGGAAGGCTTGCTTCTGTTTCTTCTGTGGGAGCCAGTCATGGCCCACTGGCATTTGACATTTGAAAGATAACTTCTTCCTATAATCAAGGCATTGACACAATGTGTGGTCAGGATGTTCCTAATTAGCATTTGTTAACATTTGTTCCTTTTTAAGGACTGCATGTGTTAAACTTGTTTTTGACCCTGCATGGGAGAAACTCGAAGAGATAGCCAAAGATCTGATGTTATCTGTAGGAGTCAGGTGCTTCCTGTTAAAGATCTGATGTTATCTGTAGGAGTCAGGTGCTTCCTGTTGATGTGCCTTTAAAAGGAGCTGTTTCTGTGAAATAAATCAGACTTCTCTTGGTCTCTACTCAGGCTTGAGTGTTCTTTCCTTTCTTAAACCTCACTCCCCAACTCAGGCATGTTCATGTTGTGATGGCTGGACCGCCAGAAGTGGTGCCCGAACAGGGACCTGAGTATCGAGGGACCCAGTGAAGGACACCACAGAGAACGAGGCCTCAACAAAAAGGCAAGGAGAGGTGAATTTTCTTGTAAATATTAAAAATGGGAGCTGGCAATAGTTGCATGCTTTTTGTACATATGCTTAAAGCTTTATTGCATGTCGATGGTGCTAGAGTAGGGCACCAGCAATTGTGTAATTTTTTAGAATTTGTTGAAATGGTTTGTCCTTGGTTCCCTGAAGAAGGCACTGTAAACTTAGATACTTGGAGTAAGGTAGGAAAACAATTACAGGATTATTATGCTGCACACCGACCTAGCAAGTTACTCGTGGATGCTTTTAGTTTGTGGGCTCTCATCAGAGATAGTTTGGATCCCAGACATTAAAAAAAAAAAAAAAAGCCCTCTTTGATTGCTCTAGCTTCAGGGCCCCTTAAAAGTTAAAAACCTGTTAGGATCAATGTTCAACCTCCTTTGTCCCCTGTTCAACAAGGGTTACAACAAGCTTTAAAGATTGAAAAAGATTTATCTGGATTTTCCCTTATCTGCCCAGTCTTTGATGCTCAAGATGCTCAGGAAAACCCCATACGTCAACATGCTCCAATTCCTTTTAAACAATTAAAAAAATTTAAAATGGCTTGGGCCCAATATGAACCAACAGCCCCTTTTACTGTAGCAATGCTTGATTCTCTGATAACGGATGCTTTATGTCCTTTTGATTGAAAACAAATAGCTAAAGCTTGCCTGGGGGGGCAGTTTACTTTTGTGAAAGTTTGAATTTGGAAAACAATGTCAAAAAACAACAACAAAAACAAAAATAGGACACAGAGAGGGTTAAATGCTAATTATGAGATGCTTGCTAGAGATGATGCTGCCCCTAAAAGACCCCTACTGTGTTGAGCACTTAAACTTTACAAACCAATCGGTGAGTGCTTGTTCTTTTTGTTTTGCTTCTGTGTCTTTCTCTTTCTGTTAAGGTCTGACAATTGTTAATTAGTAACTTGTGATCCAGATCATTTTGGAGGCCCAGAGATCCAGGCAGATCTGCTAATGGACTCCACGACACAGGGGCTGGGAGACCTCCCAAAGCCCCTTGGTCAGGACACCATCCTTTTGGTTTAAAAAAAAAAATCTAGAGGAAACTGCTCATGAGACCTCTGGTTCTACTTTTGGTTTGGTTTTCATAAGCCTTGGTCCTATATCTTATTTGGACTCCTTTGTTTCCTTGTTTGTCTGCTCGCTTGTTTTGAATTTTCTGACAGGATGAAAAGAATCTCATCTACCCACCTCAGCTTGATTTTAAGTCATTTCCAGGAGGTCCGTTGGACTGCAGCTGACCTTGGATTCCCCATAATTAAAGAGATTTCAAAACAACCCAGCCTAGGAGTTGATCAAACTGCTCTGTGACAGTCAGCTGCTAGTAAAAACTATTTAGTTTTGGTAACACTTCTTGTGAATTACAAATTCTTAAACTGTGATTATAGGGTTAACTTGCTCTTTTCTAAAAATTCAAGGTTAATACTGTTCTATTGGTAGCCAGTCAAATTTTAAGATGTAACAATCTGAAAACAGAAAAAGGACACTTTAAGCTGAAGTTTGTTATAGAAGGTTAATAGTAAATGAGACAAAAATATTAGGAAAGCTATAAGTAAGAGTTATACTTTTGACATGAAAGGTTTTTGTATGTTCATCTTGTTAAAAACAGGTAAAGAAAGATATACAAGACCGGAAGGCCTAAGAATATAGAGAAGGTGTGGGGAAATCATTTATTTATGTTTGCTTGTTGGTTTCAAGTCTGTTATAAAAGGTTTACATTTACAGTCAAGAAGAGCTTTCATTCCATTAACCCTAATTCTACAAGAGATCTCTGTTAATTTTGACCTGCAAAAATTTTGACTAGTCATAACAAAAAGATTTTATAATTCAATTGGCCAAAACCATCTGAGTGCACTCTAGTTTAAATTGTCTTATGTGTTTGTCCAAATGTTCAAAAATGTTTGTCCAATTATGTTTTTGATCAGCATGATGTCAAATACAAATTGTTGATTTCTACAACCTGGCTTCATAGGATTAAATAAAAAACTTAAAAGATAATTAAATATAAACCTTTAAGTTTGGATATGCTTCTGTTGGTAAATAAAGCAGCTGCTCAGAAAATTTATTCTGATCTTTGTTCACTAATGGGAGCCACCTAAATAATTTTCATAGCCTTATAAAAAGATATGCCTTGTTAAATATGTTGTTAAAAATGTTTACATTGGTTATCATCAAAAGGCTGAATTCTAAATATGTTATTGTAACATGTTTATGATGGTTATCTTCAAAATATA